GTGAACGCTGTTCTTTGCTTTCCAAGCATAATCATCTAAATTTCGTATAAATAGTCAGTGCTTTTCACTCTTATTTGGTTAACAGCTGTCACCAATCCTGACTAATGTTACTCTTAGTTCCTACCAGACATTCCTTGTCATCGTGGAAAAAATATGTTCGAATTCTTTTTTTGTAATTTATGTAGTTTTGTACGGTTCAGGATGTAGCCAGGCAGTTAAAAAGAATCCTCCTTTTATCCTAGAACATTTGTCATTCTTGTCTTATTCAAATTAATTAGTGGGAAGATTTTTATGAAACTTTCAAACTGTCAGGCAGAACATCGTGATGTTGGAAACTGTAAAGTATAACTACATATATACAACAAAAGACTATTTACACTTAATGGCGACAATTAAATATCTATGCAGGAACAAAAAGTATATCAACCACGGTGTGTGAATGCACCGATGACCGTTGAACGTAAACCATTCCCCGGATTATCGAACCTGCCGTGTATTCTACACCAAAAAGCCAGAAAAATTAAGACGAAAATTGACACAGTGATAATGAAACACATTAAAGACCATATTCCACCCTGACGTTAATGGCAAAATACTTCGCAATTACAATGAACGACATCAGTCACTGAGCTTTATGGCTACCGATACAGTTTTGTCTTTAAGACCAACAAAAACACACTTTCTTCCCATTTATTTGCTTATTTAGAAGATAATAATGATAAATCATCGTAGTGCGTCGGTGGCACAGTGGTTAGGACTCTCGCCAACCATACACATGGTCCGGGGTTCGAGCCCACGCCGACACACACTTGATATCTATGATCGGCCTGCGAATTTTGGGCTACCGATATCCACGCTGAAAATTCCACAACTGTACCAAAAATACGGTGTGGAATCAAGCTGTAATCAAAAATAAAAAAATCAGACCTAATTCCAGCCTGTACCTCAGTGCTAACTCTAATCCTAATACTTACCCTAACACTAATATTAATCCAAACTTTTACGTGCTGTCTATCAACTTATTGTCCAAACAGTATTTAAAAACAAGATCAATTCGTACACAGGGTTCATACTGGAACAGGTTCTTTAATCCAACGAATGACATGCATTCAATGTGTCACTGGTGCGTTCCCACTCCATGGTCTCTATTTTTTGGGTTGACCACAGAAGGTTGAGAAGCTTTAAAAAGTATTTCTTCTGTGGGTAACTTTTACATAAATGACAAGATGGTTAAATCTCAGTTATCAAGAGATAATGAAAAACAATCTAACGAGTTTCAACTTTTAATACTCTAGAATTATAAATTATAAAAGTAGTATTAAGAACAGAATAGTCAACGAATTTATTATCGAGCTGTGCGATTGTATACATATATATATACTTAAGAAACTATATCTGCTGAGGAAATTTAAGCAGAAGTGTGAACATTTAATGCTACTGCAACTTTGAATTTACCATTGACTTATTTGACCGAAATGTTAGACCTGCGTTAACATTTGCTCTTTGCACAGATGCTTCGACGATACGTACTAGGTTTGGACTTCGGCGGGAACTCCATCATTCACTGTAGAAAGCAGATGTACTCAGTGACGGGTCTTAGATAACACGAAATAGGTATTTCTGATTCCAAATCCAGTCAATATCCAAAAAATCACCGTTATGGGTAAATTTTTTGTTTTCATAAAGTCTCACAGTGTTATACAGCAGTGTTTACTGATGATGTTTCGAGCACAATTTATTGCTCATAATCATATCAAGGTAATCACACGACTTCCTAACTTCATTTATATAGTTCATTGTTTTTCACTTGATTTGATTGGCAGTAGTATTTTCCATATTTCGGGTATCAGTGATGAATCATTCCTATTGCATGTGTTGGGTGTAGACTCAATGAACAAGGATTCTGTAATCACTCTCTCTCTCCACCTATCTAGATTACGTTTTAGAAATTTAACCTTCTCCAAAACACATTATTGTGTGGTTTTGTGTTAATGTATGCAGTGCTATAAAGAACTTAGGGGGTTTATAAATTACTTATCTTCTCGGGGTCAACCATTCTTCTCTCAGCTAAATTCTTATGTTCTGATAATCTGACTGCCCCTGACCTACTAGTTTGACCTATGTAGTTGACCTAACTCACAGTCATTGCAGGGTATTTTGTAAATTATATTCTTTTTTCTAACTGGGTCAACCTACAGTGTCCTTTAACCTACAGAGCTTGTCCTTGAGTGAGTTTGTAGGTTTAAATGCCACCCTAATTCCTGCTTTATTTAAAATCCTGTGTAGGTTCTCAAATGTCCCCTCTTCATATGGTATAACTGTAGATGACTTATATTCTCTTTTATTTATGTTATCAATACTAGTTTCACAATTATTTTTATTTTTATTTTGGCCTTCTTCGAAGGTTGGAATACTTAACACAATAATATGAATAAAGCGAGAACAACAACGGTTTGTGCAGAATAACATGGTACCATCATTTGTTTCGTCGGCTTCTCATCAGCTGCTTGCAGCCCAAATAAATTATGAGGTTTAAGTACAGAAAAGTTTTAACATACTTGCAAATTGTACATGTTGTCAGTTGACAGAAAGTTCCACAATTAGTAAACAGTGCTCAGAGAATTGCGCTTATATAGTTTTTACACAGAGAGTTCAAGTTAAAACAAAACAAATGTATGCATATAATGGTAAGGGAGTTACATAGTAAAGATGATATCTGCGTAAGATGCATAGTGACTAATAATAGTAGTAAAAATATGGGATGCGATTATAATGATAATCCAACATCCAGGGTAAAAACAAATAATGTAACTTAGAGAAAAGTTCACGGAATGTATAGATTTGCAGAAAGGAATGTAAAATTATTAAGATAAGTAGGCGATTGGAACATTATGTTACATAGTAAGAAGTTTGGTGAGAAATATTTTGACATACAATAAATTATATTGATTCGATATAATAAGTGAGACAACTAGAATAACACTGGAAGCTGTTCAGAGAGAGACAGAAACACAGTAATAGGTAACAAGAGAAAGAAACATAGCCAAAATAAACTAAAATAAAATTTCATATTAGTTTGATTATTAAATGTATCACACAGTGAAACAGCATTGTATACTGGATGATGTTTCGAACACAATTTATTGGAACTTAATAATTACCCGGATAGATTAGTCAAGAAATATGTAAGTAAATGTAAAATAAAATAAATAATGATAACAGAGATAGTGATAATAATAATAATGATAACAATAATAATAATAACAATAATAATAATAATGGTATAATAATAGTGATAATAATGTTAATAACGACACCAACAATAAGGAATGTAAATCATCAACAATAATTCCATACAAAGAAGGGACCTCGGAAGCCTTACGCAGAATTCTTAACAAGGCAGGAATAAAAGTGGCATTCAAACCCACAAACTCAATTAGAAACAAGCTTTGTCGGTTAAAGGATCCTGTAGAGCCATTAAAACAAAACAATTTAGTTTATCTAATACCCTGCCTGCAATGATTGTGAGGTCAAATACATAGGTCAAACTAGTAGAACAGGGGCAGTCAGACTAGCCGAACATAAAAACCTAGCTAAATCTAGATTGGTTGACCGAGTAAGATAAGAAATCTAGAGAGTAGTTCAGCTATAGCACTACATGCGGTTACACAAATTCTACTGCCCATACAACAAATAGAGAAGACAGAGAAAACTATAAAAATCAAGTCTCGAAGTCGTGTGACAAAAATTGATGATTATGAACAATAAATTGTGTTCGAAACGTCATCCAGTATACAATACTGTTTCACTGTGTGATACTTAATAATCAAACTATATGGAATTACTTAATACCACAGTGCCCAAGCTTTACACATATTTAAAATTTAATAAGTGAATGTTAATTCCTCTACGTAAAAGCTTGGCTTGAATTCACGAATAGGCAAGACTTCATACGTCTTTAAAAGTTTAGAACGACGAAAGGACATCAAGTTAGTATAAAGCGGACAAATAACTTTAGAATCATGTTTGGGGTTTGTAAAATGACAAAATCAATCAAGTGTCATGGAATACAACCTCTCACAATCTGATCTTCTCCCTTGTAAAACCATACTGGAATGTTTTCTCGCTTCGTTTGGGAAAGCATCCACTGGTTATGGTCAGAAGATAGTATTTACATTGAACTCCTGCTGGCGTGCTTAAAACTTGGGCTACCAAAAACTTCCATCCCTCGATTGCATACATTTTCTCTTGTTTGGTTTGTTTTAATTGATTAAGATATGATGTCTAGTGGTATTATCTACTCTTGCATGGATTTAAAGTGTTTACAAGCTTCTGATTCGCATGTTCCTACTGAACTTGACAAAAGGCCTTATTGTATGGGGAGGCAAAGTGTTTCAGTACATGAGATAACTATCTTTCAGTTCTCTCTTAGGGTCTCAAAATGTACTGCTGAACATCTTATTTACAACTGGCTCTCAACTAGATATCGTAGATCTCCTGAAGGAGAGAAAGCAGATATATCACATAATGGAATGGTTTTTTTTTTTTTTTTAGATTTACAGCTTAATTCCACACTGTATTTTCGGTACAAGTATGGAATTTTCAGCATGGATATCAGTAGCCCAAATTTCGCAGGCCGACCATAGATATCAGGTGTGCGCCGGCGTGGGCTCGAACCCCGGACCATGTGCATGGTCGGCGAGAGTCCTAACCACTGTGCCACCGACGCGCTTCAGCTCAGAAACCAGTGTGTCACAAACAGGATATACTGTCAGTTAATATTTTACTTGAAGATATTGTATGAATGGAAATATTATGCAATAAAATCCTCTGAAAATTCAGTACATTTTATATATACTACCCAAAACAAAGACGTTATTATTATCATTATTTATTTTGATTAGTAAATGTATTCAGGCTATTTAAGTTATCTTCAACTATAATTTAAGTTTCCTCCATATCTCACCTCGTTATTATAATATTTTGTACTCTTTTTCTAGCATTTACAAAGACATGAAAGTTGGCAAAGTCTAGAATTGGACACACCTCCTGCGTCTTCAGGAACTGGTGAAACCGATACAACAGTAGCCTCAACAACGAAAGCAATAACACCAGGCGATCAAACAACAGGACCCTTAGGTAGTGGTGGTAGTAGTAGTCAAGGTGGACAAGATAATGAACAAATGGATCTGGCGAGTAGACGTGGTAGAAGATCTGCCATAATTGATAATAAAGTAAGGTCATTGAAAGTTTGCATTCTTTCATTAAATTTATTCAATCAACGGTTTTCTTCTTACCTATGAAGTTAAAAGATGATACATGATAATGGAAGTAGTGCTGGATGGCTGTTTTATTTAATTTGAGGCACTTTAGCAATGCATGGTCAAACACAAGGTATTTAGGTTATACTGCAAGCCCTTCAACTATTTTGCCATCAGGATGAACTATGTTGTCTCAACTTATTATTATATCATTATTCCCTTGGGTTCCGAGTAGACCATACTGCTTCAGCAACACATCTTCACTTTCTTCTATCCTCTACCGTCCTCTTCAGCTCTATCCACGAATGCTCATAATCTCTCATATCCCGCTCACACCATCTCGTCCATGTTACCCTCTCACCGAAGACCCACTCGTCGCTCCCCAGTTGAGTCCCACTAGAATAATGGCCTACATTGCGCGTGGTGTCATTCGACGCCTCCCTGAACATATACCCGATGCATCTACATTTCCTGTTATATTTATTTGTTAAGCAATCGACTCTCGGTTGGTTTGTTCACAGAGAGATTTTCTTGGTTGGCTGGACATTTGATCATCAATGTGTCACCAGCGAAGGTGATAGCTACTAGTGTTAGTCTTTAACGTGTTGGAAATACTTTTCATGACAGACAGTGCAAAATCTGACACGTATAGATGAAACAACTTCACATTGGTGTTAAAAATGAGAATCTTGTTCCTTGCGCTGAGTGCGAAATATTTTCAAACTGGTTTCAGGTTGATGAAGGCGTATATTACCTTTTGCGATTCTGATTTTGACGTCATCCATTCTTGAATCCAGCTTGTTCTGGGCTAGCGCAATTATGCGTCTAGTTCATCTTTTGCTGTCTCCAGAATGATGCTACTTAGTGCTTTCCTTGATGTGTCTGTGAGAACAGCATCATATTTTTCAGTTAACGTGTCGTATCCAACTTTAAGTTCGTTTTCAATCGCTTCTTTGGAACAAATAGCCTTAACCATATAGCTGAAGATTTTTATCAAATTTGTTCTATAGCAGGGAGGAATGAAGGTGTGAAAACGTGTATGTTAACCGGTCTAAGTAATCTCCCTATGCAAATTTCTTGTTATGCTACCATTCAATCTTCTTGTCATTAAGATGTCTAAAATTCAGTTTCACTTTGAGCTTCTTCTTCTTCTTCAGACGTGGGTAGCCTACCCAAAGTAGATGAACTGAGACTACCGTTAAGACCGATTCTGGACATGTACAATTCACCCTATCATATTATTACTATTGTTCCCTTGGGTTCCGAGTGAAAAATATCGCTTGGTTCTTGGTTGGTTTGTTCCACTGCAGAGTTTCTTATGACTGATTCTTTCCGGTTGTCCGACTGTCCATTTGATCTTCAGTATGGAGTCAGCAAAAATAGCTGTAGGAGATCAATTTCGTTACACCCATAGAAGGACTGACTGACTGACTTGACATTGGTGTTGAAAATGCGAATCTTCTTCCTTATGCTTGTATCCAGCAGTCTGCGTCTCCACTTCCTTGAGCAACATTGAGATGAAATCTTTCTGGTTTGTCGCATATCCATTAGGTGAAATCCATGTCACTCTGTGTATATCCTTGTGTTTGTACCTGCTGCATCCAATCATCAGATCATCTTAAGCGCAGAAGCCTGTGAATAATTCTTTATTATCACTGATTTCTCCGAACAAGAGCCTCTCTACCCATGATGGATTGTCTTCCTGCATTATCTGATCCAGTTTGACTTGCATTCATATCGCCCATGAGGATGCTAATGTCACCATTTGGGATGTTGTCCATCACCGTTTGTAGTTGTCCGTAGAAATCCTCCTTCTTTTATTGTTCCGCCTTTTTTGTAGCATTTTGCACATCATTAGATAATTGTTATCTTCCTTCCTTTTGAGTTGAATCTTGCTGTCATGATCCTTCAGGATGAAATTGGTTCCCACTGCATTAAGGCTTTGACGCCACTGGCCACATCATGATAGCCACTCCCTCAGTGAGTTCGTGGTTTTCGTTTGGGTGACGAGACTGGAGTAGATTATTGACTAATTTTATAATCCACAACCATTCCATATGCTCTCACAGATACCCAGAACTTCTATGCCATATCTTCTTATTTCTTTGGCAACCGAGGCAGCCTTCCCACCTTCTGACATTGTGTGGACATTCTACGCCCATACTCTTATTCTTGCTTTCATCGAGAGAGAGGACACATCGGTTGACTAGCTTCCTGAAGGCTTTCACCTACCCACGGTGTCTTTTCGCCTCTCCAATTCCAGCGACGAATGTTTTGTACTTGTAATATATTTTCTGTGCGTTGAAGTTGCTGTACTGTCTGACTGGTTTTGTAGTGTAGCGGTGCCAGCCTCAAGCCCGACCATTCATTTATATCCGGGCTTGAGACCGGCTAGAAAACTAGCAAACTGGTTAACTAGGCGAAATTGGTAGTTATTTTGAAACTTCTACATAAACAACTAGTAAAATTTAGCTAAATATAGTTCAAAGATGTACTTGAATTCACAGAGAAAATTACAGATGTAAAAAATTATATTTGTCAAATGTCAGAGATATTGAAATGAGTAATTCCAACGCTTCTTTCGGCAATCTAGTCCGAAATTCTTCAGGGAAATTAATCGAAATTAACGTAACAGAGGTTTATATATAGGAGGAACATCTCTTGTTTTTAAAAAAACCTTTGTCCAATCATGATTTATAAAACAAATATTAACAAGTATAATAAACAAAATTGTACGAGTTGTGATCAAAATTTGACCTCAGACTGACAAATATTGATCTACCTTTGTTAAACACTTTAAACACAGTGTGTATGTGTGTGTGTGTGCGGATAAACAGTTGTAAAACAATTTTTTAATATCAGTAAAAAGTTTGAGCATTGTGGATTAGATCAACTAAAGTATAATTATATTTTAATAGTTTACACACAATGATAAGTTTTGTTATTGGTAATATTTCGAACAAAATTACTGCCCGTGTTCACATCACGTTTGCAATTGTTTTATTCACACATTTATGATTTGTACTCATATATATAGTTCATTATTATTATTTTTTTGTTCATTCATGTTTTGTGTGTGCATATGTGTGTTCAGAATTATGCTCCACATTCATTCATGTGTTTGTATTTAGAATTATATTCCAAGTTGATTTCATCATGATGAAATCCTCCATGCAATCAAACAAAAAATTCCCTACAAAACCAATACTTGAAAATATTCCAAGTTGTTGATAGTTGTACTGAGTCACCCTTGTTACATGTATCCGGTGTGACTTTAATGAATATCGATTCTGTTATGAGTCTTTCTTTCCATTTGTTCATGTTTTAGTTTTTAGAATACACACATTGTTCCAATCGATATTGTGGTTTTTGTCCCATGCATGTGCAGCTATCGATGAATTTTTTCCAAGATTTTTGTAAGCTCGTGTCCCTGTTGGTTGACCTTTGGTTAGGCGTTTATGTTCATTCACTCTTATTTTGAGTGATCTGGACGTTTGCCCCACATATTTTGTTGGACAGTCAGCACAAGATATTTTATAAATCAAATTGTTTTTATCCATCATTTTTATGGGATCTTTCAGTTGATTTATTTTATTTTTCATTAGATTCGTCGGTTTAAACGTTGTTCGAATGCCGATATTTTTGAAGTTTCTTTGTATTGCCTCTGATGTACCATTTTTATATGGTATTGCGACTGTTTTTTTCATTCTTCCATCTTGTTATTCTCCGCTTTTACCCTCTTTTTTCTCTCTTTTACATAATCTTTTATAAATTCTTTAGAGGAGTTGTTTTCGAGTTGCATTTTGAATAGGACTTTTATTTCTTTACGCTGGTCCTCTGGTGTTGTTGTAAGTCTACATATTCTATCTGCAAAACCTTTTATTAATCCTCGTTTTACCGTGAGTGGATGAGCTGAGTGATAATCAAGGAATCTTCCAGAATGTGTGACTTTTCTATATATCGTTGTTTTTATGCTACCATCTGTCTTAACTCTTTGTTATATATATACTGAGATTTTGTAAATTCCGGTTTAATAATACTTTGAGAAAGCTATTAGCATTAAATAGCGAAACGTCAGTAAAAACAATATCGTTTTGTTTTTCATTCATTGGGAAATACAAAAACCTCTATTATAATGAATGTCATTCTTTGTAGTTTGCAGTCTAACATGGGCAGTTCTCCAATTTCATTCTCTAATTCCATAGTGAATTTTATTGAGTCGACGTGTCTGTCTGTGTGTGAGAAAAGTTTCTCAGTATCGTTTTTTTCACTATTACTAGTGTGTCGTCTACATATCTCCACCAACATTTTGGTGATGATCTGAATGGTTTAAGGGCATTCCCCTCCCGATAATCCATGAATATGTCAGCTATAATTGGTGAGATAGGCGATCCCATAGCTACTCCCTCATTCTGTTGGTATATTTTTCCTTCGAGTGTGAAATATGTTGTTGTCAGACAGAATTCTACCCCTTTTATTATTTCTTCTACGGATAACTGTTTTCTGTCTTAACGTCTCCATAAATAGAAATAGACAGTCGGGAAACTTTGACCAAGTATTATTAGTTAGTGATACATATCCATTTTTACTTATTAATCAGGATTTCTTATGCGTCATCTAACATCACACCTTCATGTCTGTTCAAACTGTTAGTATCTGGAATTTTATGATTAGACGTATTTCCAAAATTATGGTGATTAGGATTGGAGTTTAGTTGAAGCATCCTGTCAAAATTATTACTTTGTCTTCTTTCTGAAAATTGAGCTGCTTTATACGACCTACTGAAGTTGTCAGGTGAATGGACAGCTACGGATTTAGGATACGCATTCTGCTGCAGACAACGGAGAGTGGAAACACGATGATTGTCCCAATTACATAGTTTCTTTGTTAATTTAATTCGATTACAAAACAAATCAAATGAACTGTAGTCAAGATTTGACAGAATAGTTCTATAATATTTGGGCGCCGATTGA